GGGACCAACAAGTGGTATGAGAGCAGTGTTTTCTTTCTTTCCTTGTGTTTTGTTATTTCTCTGTATTAATTTATCTCTCTTTAGATAACTTACTGCTTTCAAATGGCTTTACATATTACAAACACACACACAAAAGATAATGTCTCTCTTGCCAAACCTCCCCGGTTTGTCCGTGACAATTTTTGTCTCTGGAAGAACCGGATGTCCCTCTTTCTGGAAGGTGTGGATCCTGAAATTCCACATTATATAGAAAATGGACCATATATTCCATTTGCTATTGTTCCGGCTGTTCCAGCAACAGCTACGACTACCGCGATTCCTGAACGGCATATTCCAAAGCTCCCACATCAATGGAGCGATGAGGACAAGAAGAAAATAGCTATAGACACGCGTGCTCGGTCTATAATAGCTATGTCTCTTCCTGATGAGATTTATCACTCAGTGATGAAACTCGAAACTTCTAAATCCGTATTGGATACTTTATGTGTCCAATATGAAGGAACCTCTCAGGTTCAGGAGACTAGAAAGATCAATTTAGTAAGACAGTATGAAAGCTTTCTCTGTGGAAAGTCGGAGACGCTATCTGAAGTACATCAAAGATTTAATTGCCTTCTTATTGATCTAAGGGCTGTCGACAGGGAATATTCTAATTCTGAAACCTTGACTAAGTTTCTAGAATGCCTTCTTGAGTCTTGGGACACCTTTTCCATGTGTCTCAAGATGTCAAATGACATGTCCACTCTTTCTCTTTTGTCTTTATACGGGGTTCTCTTAACCATGAGCAATCTCGTCAACTGAAAAGAAATCTTGTAAGAGATTCCAGGGAAATGAAAAGCACTCCTTTAGCTTTGATCTCTGAGTCTTTTTCAGTTGAAACCTCTACTCCTTTTGTCTCTTCTCTACCTCTCGTGGTCATCACGGAGATTGACTCTTCTGAGGACATTCCAGAATCTGATTTAACAGATTTTGATGAGTCCCTGGCACTCCTGACTAAGTCATTCAGGAGGTTCGCCAGTAAGAGCAAATTCCGCAGATCTCCTCAGCTATCCCTAAGGGAGAAGCCAAAGTCTGAAAGAATAGACAAGGCTTCAGCTGTCTGCTACAATTGTCACCGGCCTGGACACTTTGCAGATCGAAGAAGACTGTGATGCCATCTTCTAAAGCTCCTTCCTCCTTCAGGACCACAGATGATAAATACATAAAACTGAAGGAGAAATACAAGAAGATGAAGAAAAACCAGCAAAAGGCTAAAGGTCTTGTTGCTGAAGAGCATGACTAGGCTGAATCATCTAATGAATCATCTTCTGACGAGGAAGAAAAAGCTTATGTCTGCTTGATGGCTATTGATGCTGACGAAGGTTCTTCTAAAGCATCTACCTCTTCTGAGCCATCTTCTGTTACTCAGGTGTCAAAGGCATATGGTATCTAGACAGCGGTTGTTCAAGACATATGACTGGAGATATTTCTCTTCTATCTTACTTCAAGGAAGAAAGAGGTCCTTCTGTTACCTTCGGTGGAAATGGAAAAGGATATACTAAACGTTTTGGTATATTATCCAACGGTACAACAACTTTCAAACGCGTTGCATACGTTGAAGGACTGAAGCACAATCTTCTTAGCATCAGCCAACTGTATGATAAAGATTATACAATTAAATTCCTCAAGAATTCTTGTCATGTTCTCGACAAAGATGATA